AAAAAAAAAAAAATCAGTTAGTCATGGCCCCTACAGCTTCTGATCTACAGGTACACTAAATTTGTGGCATTGCTATGAATTCCAGAGGAAAACTAGGTTCTCCAAAGGATGGAGTCAGTCTCAGATACCAGCTTACCCCCACTTCCTTGTTCTTTCAGGACACCTGACTGATAGTGAATGTAATCAGAAACACACATCCAAGAAAGGGTCACTGATAGAGCGCAAGAGGAGTTCTGGCCGAGTTAGGAGGAAAGGCGATGAGCCACAGGCCTCAGGGTACCACAGTGAAGGCAAGCTACTCTGTATTGCTTCTCTTTTCTTCACACTCTATCAAACCCTTTTCACACTCCAGACTATTGGCTTCTCTTTTTTGCTCAAAGGGCTTTTTCTTGCTTTTTAGACATTGGGGTCTGGGCATTTGTGGTCATTTAAATATTTACATTTGTTTCATTCTTTTGTGTTTTTAGGAGAAACACTGAAAGAGAAGCAGGCTCCTAGGAATTCTTCCAAACCATCCAGCAGCACCAACAGGCTAAGGGATTTTAAAGAGACAGTCAGCAATATGATCCATAACAGACCATCCCTGGCTTCCCAGACCAATGTAGGTTCTCCCTTTGGGGGGAGGGGAGGAGATCAGCCTGACAAAAAACCTCCTCGGAACCTTCCTTTACACTCTCGTGACTGGGAAATAGAGAGTACCAGCAGTGAATCAAAATCCAGTTCTTCTAGCAAGTATCGTCCAACATGGAGACCCAAACGGGAATCTCTGAATATTGACAGTATCTTTAGTAAGGACAAAAGGAAGCATTGTGGCTATACCCAGCTTAGCCCCTTTTCTGAGGATTCAGGTGAGGAGTTCATTAGGGAAGAATTGGGCTTGGTATTTAAAAAGTCTGTGTTTTCTGGTAGACCTGGTAAAGGCATTTTTATTCTTATATTGGGCTTTTCAAGGATGAGTTCAGTGAATGAGTAGCTAGAGGTGGGGAGGAGGTATTATTAATAGCTAGGTCTTGATTTTAGGTAAATGCTAAATCTGCTACCTTTTCCATACTTGTTCTTTGTTCGGGATAGCGAAAGAATTTATACCAGATGAACTAAGCAAGCCACCTGCTTATGACATTAAATCTAGTGGACCAAGCCCCCACTACAAGCCTTGGGGCCCAGCACGGCCAGGCTCTCACCTTTTAGAGCAGCACCCTCGCTTAATCCAGCGAATGGAATCTGGCTATGAGAGCAGTGAGAGAAACAGCAACAGCCCTGTCAGCCTGGATGCAGCCTTGCCTGAGAGCTCAAATGTCTGCAGGTATTGTTTGGCCTTTGAATAGAGGCATTGTCCCATACAGCAGTGTAAGCCACCTGCTTGGGGCTTTCTACCATGACTTAGAAAAGTGGAGGGATGGTCTTTATTATCGGTTCTGGCTGTGCTCCCATCAGCTTTCTAGAGCAACAGCACCCTCTGCTGGGAAAAAGAGCAAAGGGACTTGAGAAAAGAAAACTTCCAATTTAGAATAAAAGTATTACTATGTATAAAATAATTCTTTAGGCCTGGTGCAGTGGGTCATGACTATAATCTTAGCACTCTGGGAGGCCGAGGTGGGTGGATCATTTGAGTTCAGGAGCCTAAGCAAAATCTCTACTAAAAATAGAAAAACTAGTTGGGTGTCATGGCGGACAGCTATAGTCCTAGCTACTTGGGAGGCTGAAGAAAAAATCTCTTGAGCCCAAGAATCTCTTGCTATGATAATGCAGCGCCTTCTACCAAGGGCGACAAAATGAGACTCTGTCTCAAAAACACATATACACACAACTGTATAGAGTGTGTTTCAACAGTATATATACTAAAATTAGAATGATACAGAGAAGATTAGCATGAAGCCTTTTCAAGGATGACATGAAAATTTGTAAAAAGTTCTGTATTTTTCAGATATGTAGGATGAACAAGTCTAGAGATTTAATGTAAAACACTGAGGACTATAGTTAATAAAATTATACGATATATGGGATTAATACTAAATGAATAGGTTTTAGATGCTTTTGCCACACACACAAAAAAATGGGTAACTATGTGAGATGATGGATGTTAATCTGCTTCACTAAAGTAATCTTTTTACTATCTATATGTATCTCATAATGTTGTATGCCTTAAAATATACAATTAAAAAGAAATTTTTTTATTTTTTGAGACAGTCTTATTCCATCATCCGAGCTGGAGGGCTATGGCCTCAGCCTAGCTTATAGCAACCCAAAACTCCTGGGCTCAAGCTATCCTCCTGCCTGAACCTCCTGAGTAGCTAGAACTATAGGCTTGTGCAACCATGCCCAGCTAATTTTTCTATTTTTAGTAGAGATGGGGGTCTCACTTTGCTCAGGCTGGTTTTGAACTCCTGAACTCAAAGGTTCCTTTTGTTTTGGCCTCTCAGATTGCTAGGATTATAAATATGAGCTACTATGCCAGGCCTTAAAAATGTATTTAAAAAATTGCTTAGTAAATAACTTGCAATGAATGAGTAAAGTAGTGAATTCACACTTACATAATCTTAAGATCCTAGAAGAAACTCAGATGTTATTTATTCTTGCTTTCCTTCTTCTTCTTCTTTTTTTTTTTTTTTTTTTGAGACAGAGTCTCACTTTGTCATCTTGATAGAGTATTGTGGCATCATAGCTCATGGCAACCTCAAATTCTTGGGCTCAAGAGTTCCTCATGCCTCAGCTTCTTGAGTAACTGGTACTACAGGTGCTCACCACGACACCAGGCTAATTTTTCTATTTTTAGTTAGAGATGGGGTCTTGCTCTTGCTCACACAGGTTTCTAACTCCTGAGCTCAAGTGATCCCCTCAGGGCCTCCCAGAGTGCTAGGATTATAGGCATGAGCCACCACACCAGCCAGGTTTTGTGTTTTATGAAGCCAATCATATTTATAATCTTGCAAGATGATGGTTGCAGTTTAATAGAGCTTATTGTGCCCTGCCCATAGGGTTCAGTTTGCTACATAAATTTCAAGTCTCTGACAGTGTGTTTACTGAGTTGCCACAAGGCAATTTTCAGTATAGTTACTTTGAAAGGAATTGGTTATATGTTCTGCAAAGGTGATAACCATATCCTAATACTTTCCCAGTGTTCTTCTCTGGCTACAGGATTCTAGCTAAAGCTGATTGATCAAGGGGGTGGGCAAATAACACAGTCTGGGCTGTCCCTGTTCAATTTTACTTATGCGAAGATGCTATAGAGGTTTAGTAAGAAAGAAGAAGACAGTACATATGATAGCAATATGTCTGTTAATTCATTCAGTAGATTTTGAATATCTGCTGTGTGCCCGATACTATGCACAAGATGTGAATGAGATGAGATAAGATAGTGATTAAGTGAATATTTCAATTTTTCAGAGATAGAAATCAGAAGCTTTAATTTTATTAGTTAATGTTGAGGGGTTTAGTCCTAGGAATATTGTTAGTAACCACTCTTCTGATACTTTCACTAAACTCTGGGTTCTCTTTTGAAGGGATCCAAGTGCTAAGAGATCAGCTGGGTTGGTCCCTTCCTGGCGTCATATCCCTAAGTCTCACAGCAGTAGCATCCTGGAGGTGGATTCCACAGCATCCATGAATAGCTGGACAAAGAGTCAGCCCCTCTCAGGTAAGCAGAATGATTCTGGATTTGGTAGACTGGATTTGACTGCCAACTCTATTTGGGGACCAGCCTTACCTAAGCACATCTGAAATTATAGGACAGGTGCAGTTTGAGTATTCCATCAGAATATAAACATGGAAGCATTTGAGTTGCTGCATCTTTGGACTTACCTGTTTTTCATTCTCTATTACATTTTGCCTGAATATTTCCTTCTATTTTGAAGAGAGCCCTTGTAGGAGGAGGAAGGACAGAAATATGGTGAACAGTGTTGATAACATCTTCATTCCTCAAAAGAATAAATCTTAGGGCTTTCCTTGGTGTACTGGCAGCCTCTTAGGAAATGGATTTGTTATCGTTTAATATCATGCATTGAGATACCAAAGGGGGACATATATGCTACATGCAAAACTGGAAAATAAGAAATTCAAACTTACCCTTAATTCTGCCCATATATCCTATATCCTAATCTGACTAGCAATTCTCTTGATAGTTTCTGAAAATTCTTAGAGGTTGTGGGAAGGGAGGTATGCAGCAATAGTAATCAAAAGGCATGAGCCCTTTTAGGTGTTGCTGACATCTGACAGAGTGAAATATTGTTTATAGAGGCAGATACCCTGGAATCCTGGGCTACAATAAGTTATAGTTAGAGACCTATGGAAGAAATTTGTGCTTTCCAGAAAAATTGGACATTTGGTTTATTTCCCACAGTTTAAAATTATTTTATGTTGAATAACATTGCTTTGAGAAACTTGTGCTCATACATATGACTATTCTCCCCTCTCTTCAGATAGCCAGTACCTTTTCAGTACACAAAAGACTGAGTTTCATGATTTCCTAATAGTCCTCAATTCTCAACTAGCTGGCTAGAATCTATCAATAGGATTTCTCATCTGGTAAACGATATTTAGCTAGGAGTTACTTCTAACACTGTGTCATCCCACACAATGGATCTTCTTTGTATAATAGACCCTATTTATATCCCACAGTTTGATCTAAACTATTTTAGATAAATTAAAGCACAGAACAAATGTGTTTTTAATTTTTTTTTTTAATAAATGGGGTCTTGCTTTGTCACCCAATCTGGAGTACGGTGGCATAATCATAACTCATTGTAACCTCAAATTCCTGGGCTCAAGTGATCCTCTTGCCTCAGCCTCCTATTGCTGAGGCAAACCTCACTAGCTATGGTCCTATAGGTAGGACTATAGTGGTGCACTACTGTGCCTGGCTGATTTTTAAAACTTTTAGAAGAGATGGGGTCTTGCTGTGTTGTTCAGGCTAGTCTCAAATTCCTGGCCTCAAGTGAACCTTCTTAGCCTCACAAAATGCTGGGATTATAACTGTGAACCATTATGTCTGACCAGAACAAACATTTTTATCAATTCTATAACCTGCCTTTTCCCTCCTGAAACTGAAAGAACCAGTTCCTTTATGGTGTATATTTTTCTACATCTTGTTCTATGTTTATACAAAGTTGATATACATAATCACCACTTTAAAAAGTAAAATGAAGTCATACCATACATATTACTTTCTCACCAAATTTTTCACTTAATTTATAATGGACATCTTTCTAGATCTTTTTATATCCAGCTATGAGCACTTATAAGATTGAGTTTTTACTAGTGTGGACATTTTACAAACTCATTAAAGAAATGATGCAAATTTGTGCTTGAAGCTCCCCCCAAAAGTCCCAGTGACAGCACTTGGTAGAGACAGCACTTAGCGCTTTCTATTGGCTGAAAGCATGGATTATGAATTTAATCTACTTGACTTTAATTCTGCTTCACCATTTCCCATCTGTCTTACCTTGGGTAAATTTTTTATCCTCTGTGTGACTCAATTTCCTCTAAAATGGGGTTATAGTGAAGGTGAGTGGATTGCCCTGAGCTCACAGGTTTGAAACTAGCCTGAGCAACAGCGAGACCCTGTCTCTAAAAACAGCCGGGTATTGTAGTGGGTGCCTGTAGTCCCAGTTACTTGGGATGCTGAGGCAAGGTAATTGCTTGAGCCCAAGAGTTTGAGATTGCTGTGAGCTGTGATGCCATGGTACTCTACTGAGGGTGACAAAGTGAGACTCTGTCTCCAAAATAAATAAATAAATAAATAAAAAATAAAATGGGGGTATAATAGTTATCTACCTCATAAGTTGTGAGAATTAAATGAAATAATATATGTCAGAATGCTTACTTGGCATACAGTAAATGCTCAACAAATGTTCAGGGTCATATTATTGTTATTATGAAGCACTCAATAAATATTTGTTGTTGTTATTATTGGCCCAAGTCCACCCTGAATTTGATGGTGGGAAGTTCTATCCAAAACACGAAGTCCAAAATTTTTTTTTGTTTAGAGACAGAGTCTCACTTTGTCACCCTTAGTAGAGTGCCATGGCATCACAGCTCACAGCAATCTCCAGCTCTTGGGCTTAGGCAATTCTCTTGCCTCAGCCTCCCGAGTAGCTGGAACTACAGGTGCCCTCCACAATGCCCCACTATTTTTTTTTTTTGCAGTTTGGCTGGGGCTGGGTTTGAACCCGCCACCCTTGGTATATGGGGCCGGCGCCCTACTCACTGAGCCACAGGTGCCACCCATGAACTCCGAATTGAAGGCAAGAGTTCCAAAGGAAAAGCATCACAGTGACTAGACTAGACTAGCAGGTGTTTAGTCTTGGAAATGTAGTGACTTTATCTTTTCCCTTGCTTGTATTCCAGGTGGAGAATTGTCTTCTAAAAGTGAACTGGACGAATTACAGGAAGAGGTGGCCAGGAGGGCCCAGGAACAGGAACTTCGAAGGAAACGGGAAAAGGAATTAGAGGCAGCTAAAGGGTTTAACCCTCTTCCCAGCCGCTTCATGGACTTGGATGAACTGCAGAATCAGGGTAATTGTGAGCATTAGGTTGTGGGTAATGAGGACAGAGAGAAAAAAAGATCCATGCTTGTATGTTCCCTGTCTTCTCTTTAGTAGTTGCATTTTATCTTAATTCAGCTATTCCAGTGAGAGCTAGTTAAAGTGGAAGGAGTCAAACCTGTTGATTTTGGAGACAGGTACTGATTAGGGCAGGTCTATTAAAAGCCTATAGATGAGAGATAATATATTATTCATGAAAAAATGTTTCCCTTGAACATCTGTGGAAGGTATAAATAAAATTAGTCTCACCTGAAAAACAGAAAAAGGGCACAGGGCCACACTGATAGTAAGGGGAATCTACTTGCTGGGAAGAAACATGCCCTTGAGATAGACATCCCACCGGCAGCTTTAGGGAAGTGGATCTACCAAAAAGGAGCAAGAACACAAAGCCTGATTTCCTTCTACTACCATTATGATTCATTCCCTAATTGTATATGATTTGCATAGACTTTATGTAAGCTTCCCCAGCTGCCCTATGTTGGTCACTTTTTCCTCCTCCTAGAATTTCATTAGGATGTCACTTTGTACCAAAAGAGACTAGCTTTCAAAATGAGAGTTTAGCAAGTCTGAGGTGTTTACCTTAAATAGGCTATGAAACCTATGTCTCAGTTTTTCTTTCTATAAAATGAATTTATCATTCTTATTATTCAGAATCCCCAGATATAACAAATTGTGCTAAAGCAGTATAAGGGATAGGGGTCAATGTTATTGGGTGGCTGCTATCTGTTGACTGCTTCTCTTATTTTGTAAACACTTAAAGAGGCTTTCTGGGCTAAATAATTGTATATGGGGAAGCTTTTTGCCTCTAATCCTCCTGTCTTTTGATTCTGGACATTGTTGCTTTATATTTCCTAAGTTATTGTATTTGTTTCCAAATTAGTATGAAATTCCTAATTCCTTAGTTGTCTCTATATTTAGGTAGTCTTTTCTAGCTTTTTGCTCTCAAGCTATGTCACATTGGTATTCTAGGTTGCTTTTGAAAAGAGGGCCTTGTCATCTCCCTCCTTGCCTTTATCTCTCCTCTGTCAGTTGGGCAGTACATTGAAGTTGGGAGGAAATCCCACTGGCTATTTTTCATTGTTAATTCTACATACACTTTGTTTTGGCATTTCCTAGAAGAGCATAAAATGGAGTGGTGGCTCATGCCTGTAATCCTAGCACTCTGGGAAGCTGAGGCAGGAGAATCACTTGAGCTCAGGAGTTTGAGACCAGCCTGAGCAAAAGCGATACACTTTTACTTAAAATAGAAAAGTTAACCAGGCATTGTAGTGGACGTCTATAGTCCCATCTACTTGGGAGGTTGAAATAGGAGGATCGCTTGAATCCAGAAGTTTGAGGTTGTTGTGAGCTAGGCTGAAGCCACAGCATTCTACCTATGCAACAGAGTAAGACTCTGTCTCAGAAAAGAAAAAAAAAAAGGAGTGTTAAGATTCTAGAGGAGAAGAATTAAAATTTAGTACAGTGATTGATCAACTGTAGTTTGCTTAGATCTATTAAGTATAAATTTTTTTTTTTGCAGTTTTTGGCCAGGGCCGGGTTTTTGAACCACAACCTCCGGTATATGGGGCCGGTGCCCTACTCCTTTGAGCCACATGCACCGCCCAGATTTTCTTTTTTTTT